TCTCCATAAGGTTCAATGTAAATAAGGTTAATCCGTTCAGTAACTTTTTTTTTTTATCAGAAAAATGTGAAGCAAAGTGGCAAAGAACAACAAAGATCGCGGCCATCTCCCCCCACACCCCGAGCATGAGCGTGGCCATTTCCCCTCCCCCCCAGCACAACCGTGATCACACCCATCATCCCTGCACGTGCCTGTCATCCCGGCGTGCTGCGGGGAGAGAGACGGGTGCGAGCATGCTGGTGGGGGGCGGAGATGGCTGAGATCACAGTTGCGCTCATGCAGGAAAGCCAGATGCAATCACAGGCACACTAGTGCAGGTAAGACAGGCACGATCAACCGTCTCCCCTCAGCCTCCAGCACGATCGCCACCCAATGTGGAGTTCGTGACCTGAGTCAAAATTCTATGGAATTTTTGTTCACAACCCGATTTGGTCGTGAACTGAGGCGTTTGTGAGCCAAGGTACCACTGTAAAGAGAAAGAATAAAGAATACAACTGTGGAAATGTTAAAAACATCTAAAAAGCCTTAATTATTAAAATGATGGTTGAATAAAAAGGTCTTGACCTGGCACCGAAATGAGTATAAAGTTGGCGCCAGGCAAACCTCTCTGGGGAACACATTCCATAGTCTGGGCGCCACCTCAGAGTAGACACCCTCCGGACCTCCTTCAAGGAGGGTTCCTGAAGGAAGGCCTCTCCAGCCAATCTTAAAGGGTGTGAGAGCATGTAGGAGAGAAGATGTTCCTTCAGGTATCCTGGTCCCAAGCTGTTTAGGGCTTTATAGGTTAATACCAGCACCTTGAATTGAGCCCAGACTTCAATTGGGAGCCAGTGTAGCTGATAGAGAACCGGCATTATATAATGGCCGGCCCCTATCAGCAACCTGGCACCTCTATTTTGTACCAATTGAAGCATCCAGACCGTTTTCAAGGACAGCCCCATGTAAAGTGTGTTACAATAGTCCAGCCAGGAAGTTACCAGAGCATGTGTCACCATTGCTAGGCAGTGCTCATCCAGGTAAAGATGCAACTGTTGGATTAGCTGAAGCTGAAGCAAAGCGCTCCTCGCCACTGCCATCACTTGGACCTCCAGGGACATCTCCGGGTCGAGTGCAACCCCATCCAGGACAGGACTAAGATCACTTACCTGAAAACCCGGACCACCCACCAAAAAGCCTCTGTCTTATCTAGATTGAGTTTCAGTATGTTGGGCCTCATCCAGCCCATTACCTCAGCCAGACACCAGTTCAGGACAGCCACTGTCTCACCTGGATTAGATGTAAACGAGGTAGAGCTGAGTGTCATCAGCGTACTGATGATTCCACAGCCCAAACCTCCTGATGACCTCTCCCAGTGGTTTCATGTAGAAGTTAAAAAGCATGGGGGACAGAATAGAGCCCTGTGGTACCCCATGGCAAAACTGCCATGCCACAGAACTATAGTCCCCCAGCACCACCTTCTGGAATCTACTGGTCAGATAGGAGCAGAACCACTGCCAAGCAGAGCCTCCTACTCCCAACCCAGCCAGCCTATCCAGAAGGATACAATGTCAAAGGTATCGAAAGCCACTGAGAGGTCCAGGAGAATCAACAGGGACACACTCCCCCTGTCCCTCTCCCTGCTATTATGACAGCCCTGCTCAACTCCTGTTAATTCAAAGCTGTGTAATTCAATCCATCACATGTTTGGTCTTTCTTTTCTTCTATATTTGAAGGAATGGGATTGGATAAGTTTGGTTTGCTTGTTTTGGTTGTTTCAATTCAGTGGAAGAGGTCATGGGAAAAGTCCCTAACTTCTTTTTTCTTGTTTTCTTTTTGCTTTTTCTTTCTTTTCTGAATGAATGAATTTCCTCCAAAATGTCCTGTATGACAGCCGCACTCAGCTCTTGTAAATTCAAGGCTGAGACACCCTAAATTTTAATGAAAAGGTGGAGCATGATGTTTAAACATTAAATATACAAATCAGTTGTGAGATGAGAGACTGCAGATGAGGATTTCCAGTTAGGCTTTCTCTCAGTTTTGCTCCACCCGAAGATGGAAATTCTGGAAATTCTGGAAATGGGTGGGGATAGGGTGGCAGGGACAAGCAGTGAGTCTTAGCCAAAGATTACTATATGAACTGCATGGAAGTGAGAGACAGGAGGTGGGGCAGGACCTGAATGGTGAAATGGTGAAGACAGGCAAGGATCAAGGCAAGCTTTGTTTCCCGGGGATTGGAAGCTGACAACTTCCCAGTGGAATTCAAGGTGACAACTATTCCTATCACTCTGTGTTCTTGATCATATGAGAGGCTATTTACTGTTTCAAATGTTTTATTGATTGTTAAACTCAGCTTGCAGCATGAATAACCATTTCCAGAACTGGAGGGAGGTGTTATTTGATCTACCCTTTCTTTTACTTAATTTGAACAGCATGCTACTTTTTCATAGAAACATATGAATCTGCCTTACACTAAGTCAGACCATTGGCTCAGGTAGCCCAATAGTATCAATGGTCCAGCTAGGTCTTTATTGTTGTCAAGGAGTGGAGCAGCCCTCCAGGATTTCAGACACAGGTTTTACCTGCCCTATCTGGAGATGCCAGGAACCTGGGGCCTTCTGTAAGGAAACCATGTAATATTACAACAGCTACTACTGCTATTTTGAATTTCTATCCTGCCTTTTTTCCTTTCGTGAGGAACCCAAGGTAGCTTACATAGCTTCATGTGCTCTGCCAATGAGCTATGGCACCTCCGCAATAGGGTTTTACTTTTTATAAAGGGGAGGGAGAGAAGCCCTCAGCCACGTGAGCTCAAAAAATTAAAGTAAGTACAACGGTTGCAAACCCTCAACAACCTCCCCAGTTCCTCTGAAAACAGCTACTTGGAAAATGTTCTCTCTTCTCCATTTCATATCACCATTCTTTTCCTGTTATTTCCTCCCTTATTCCTGCCTTTTTTCATCCTTTTCTTTCTTCATTGCATCCAAAGCACATGTTTGAATTCTCAAGAGGGGAGGGATATGGGTAAGAAACATTCTGGAGTATATTCTTCCTGCTTTATACAAACAGGAAAGAAGATTTGCTTTTCTCCTCCTTGCCCAATTCTTTGGAAAGAGCATGCTTTCATGATTGTACAGGAAGGAATGTGGAACAATTTGTTTTGTCAGTTGCCTATAACTAGCAATAGAATGCCAGTCTTTAATAAAAACAGGAGTTAAAGTGTGGTGGCAAGGTATGTGCAAGGGAGATAAATACTGCTTACTTTTACAACCTCGTGTATGTGTACTCAGAAATAAGCCCCACTGTATTCATTGATGCTTACTCCTAGGAAAGTGCAATACAAGTGAGCTTGACTTTCTGTATGTTTACACAAGTAATCTTAAATTGTGAGCTTGGTAGTGCAAACTTTAATGAGCTACCCACTTCTCTGTTACATTGACTAGGGCCACTGCATGTTGTCTAGACAGCAATAGGAAATGCAGAGTGCCAGCTCCAACCTCTGAAAAGCACTCTGCAGTCAGAGTTAGGGCTATGAATTTGGGGTGTCCTACCCTCACAGCTCTCATGGGCCTTTCAGAGTTGGTGCTGGGGAAGAGGACATTCCATTCTGCAATTGCATGCATACACACACATATATGTGAACACATACATTCACACATAGATATTTACATATACCAGGGATAGGCAACATGTGACATCTGCTGCCTTCAAATTTGTGTATATTTAAAAACCAAGTGGAATACCGAGTGTCCAATTTGAAGCTGTTTTAGCCCTTTGAGTGATTTGTATCTATATAGAACACAAAAACCTTGGCATCAGCTTGAAAGCAAGGTGATTTTGATTCTTTTGGCATGCTGTAGTCACTTCGGGGCTGCGCTTTTATATATGTATTAGTACTTATAGGGAGGAAGTGTGACCTGAGGGGCAACAGAATGGAAGCAAATGGAAGATGACCCTCTACACACACACACACACACACACACACACACACACACACACACACACCCTTATAAATGGAGAGTGCATTCACACATAACACTAAGCCATACCAAGGGAAAACTGTGCAGCGTGTATCCTCTTTGTGTTCTGAGTTCAGACAGGTGCTTGATTTCTATTCATACTATTCATTTCTATTCATTCTATTCATTTTTCTGCTGCTCAGAAGAAGCAACTATCTACTCATTGGGAAGCCAACATGCACACAGAGGAGAAAAACAAGCAGCCCATCAGAATGCAGTAGGCTCTGACGTAGCAGTTGCTAGACAGAACAGAATAGTGGAAAGTGCAGGCTGGAGTGTCTGCTGCGGCTGTAGCTGCTCTAGCTGCCAAACTCTATGTCAGAAAAGTGGAAACGATGCAGAAACATGTCAGCAGGGTTCAGACTGCAAAGCAAGCCAAGGTGAAGCATAAAAACCTTATAACAAGGTATTGTTTCTCCATGTGGTTTCATGGAATACACTGCACCTCACCACAGATGCTGTGTTCAGATGTAATGACAAGTCATGTGGTTTCTGCTGTGGCTTGTTGTGAACATATGAACCCACCCAGTGTCTGAGAAGGGTGGCTTTGATGCATGAAAATAATTTCTAATTTCAGCTAACTTTTTTTCAATTCACTTTTGTGCTAAAGTGTGATCCTGCAACATGCTTTGGATATAGAGATGTAAATTCAAATAATTGATGTGTCCAAATAATAACTTCAGTACAAAATTGTATGATGATATTTAGGACATATTTTGTGCTAATATTCTGCTACTGGATGTATAGAGCTGGTAACATTGTACTAGATAATGAACAGAAAGCATCATTTGTTCTGCAGACTATTTTTGCCCCTTAGTTACATGATATATTTTGTCCATCTCTTGGAACCTCTACAAAATATAGGTTTTGCTAATACTGAAAGGAATATAACCTGTATTTGAAGTAGATTTTTAAAAAAAAAAAGACTTCAGTGTGAAGAACTGGTGAAGAGTGTAGAATATAGAAATTTAACAAATTATGCTATTTTTTCTCTAACAGATATACAGTTCAAAGAACCAGAGTTAAAATGAATAGTCAAGGACAGGTTGATAAGTTTCGTTGCTGGAAGTGTCGAAAATATATAACTAATTCTGATTGCTTGATAAAGGACCAGAATGCAGATTTATTTGAAGTAAGTAAAAAAAGTTTTTGTTTCTTTTAACCCATTACTAGGCCAATTATATAAAACACTGGAATTTGCCATGTTTAAAAACTATTCAGTATATATTTGCTGTAGTAATAGGATCCATTTCATCCATTAGACAGCTTACATCACATTTTAAATCTATTTGTTTATCAAACAGAACTTTATAATTTTTTGTTCTTTAACATGCAGACTAGCATTCCATTAAATCTGCACTGTAAAGGTTGTATATGCATATTGCAGAAAGCATAATTTAGCAAGTCACCATGAGTAAACAGTAATTTATAGTTTGAGATTGTGTTTCTGTGATGTTCTGTTCTGTACTCTTCCAAATTATTTTTGACAGAGAAATAAAAGCATATTTGTGGGTGCATATTTATGTGTCAAAAATGAATAGGGAGATCTGTGAGTTTCAATTTTAAAACCTTTCTTTGACACCAGTCAAAAGAAGTACTGATGGAGACTTGGCAAAGTGAGAAAAAGATGGGGACATTGGAAACTATGAGGGGAAAACCAAAAACCTAGAGCAGGGGTCAGCAACCTTAAACACTCAAAGAGCCATTTGGACCCATTTCCCACAGAAAAGAAAACACCAGGAACCACAAAACCCTTTTGACATCTAAAATGCAGCTAACACTGCATATATCGTTTTTTTACCTTTATGCCATGTATAAAAAAACTATAGTGTGTTGCATCCCCATTCATATATTTTTCAGCAAAGGCTGTGTGTTTATTCTGGAAATGTCTTGCAACATTCGACTTTTTGTTGTTTGCCAATTTCTCATCACATATTAAGCATACTGGTCAACCAGTCTCATCAGCAGTGAAAGCAAATTAATCTGCCCATGTACCATTAAGTGTTCTGTTTTCTTCTGAAACTTTTCTTTTCTTGAATTTATCCATGGTTATAAATTCCATTTTCAGGGGTCGAAAAGCTCAATAAATTGCGTGTTGGTGGGTGTAGCACATTGGCGGTTGTGATGCATATTTTGAGCAACAGGGAGCCGCATCAGAGGGATGAAAGAGCCACATGCGGCTCCGGAGCCACGGGTTGCTGACCCCTGACCTAGAGGATCTCCTTGTGAAGGTTGAAAAAAGTCACTTTCACTTTTGTGAGAAAAGATTGCTCACAGTTTTGTTTTCTTTTGACAACTCTGTTCAGCAGCTGTCACATAATCACAAAGTAACAAAATACTAAATTTGCAGGCTCTCTGGGTCAATGTTCATGGTTGGTGTCTGTTGCATTGTGATAGTAGGTAAGATAGGATATTGACCAAGCAAGCCTTCCCATTTTAGCTATTTGGAGTTGTACAATTCTGGAAACTGCACCCCCCACCACAAAAAAAAAAAAAAAAAAAAAAAAAACCAAATAGGGCAAATTTGCTCACTTACAGTTGTATGAAAAAAATGGGTGGTGACACATTGACAGCCCCTGTAATGTGACACTTGGCTGCTTTAGTGGGTCTGTCAGCAGCTGTCACTTTAGAGATCATGGAAATCAATTTCCGGTTGCAGCAAGTGCAAAAGCACGTAGAATTGCAGCAGGGAAAGGAGACATGGCAGCTTCAGCCACCAAGTTCCTTGGAAAACCTGCTGGAAGACCAAGGGGAAAGGATTGAGGACAAATCATGGTAAACCCAGTTGTCTGTCAGCTATACTATCAGTTCTGTTCCACCAAGTTTTATATCATCTGCAAATTTAATTATCATTCCCTGGACTTCCTCATTAATGATCATTAATAAAGATGTTGAATAGCACTAGTCCCAGGACTGAGCCCTATGGCACCCCACTTGTTACCTCTCTCCAGCTGGAGAAAGTGCCTTTGATGATGAGTCTCTGTGACTGATTCTGTAGCCAGAAGTAGAACCACCTAACAGTACTTCTGTTGAGCCAACATCAAACGCTTTGCTAAACTCTAGGTAAATTTATGTCCACGGCATTTCCACTGTCCATTTGGGTGGTTACCTACTCAAAAAAATGAGATTGGTTTAGTCTGGCATGACTTATTCTTAAGAAATCCATGTTGGCTTTTATTACTAACTGCATTTTCTTCAGGTTGATTGCAGACTGATTTTTTAATAATTTACTCCAGTATTTTCTCAGGGAATATTTAAGACTTAGCGGTCTATAGTTCCCCAGTTCTTTTTCCCTCTCTTGTAGATGGGGACATCAGCTCCTCTCCAGTCATCTGGCACTTTCCCTGTTTTTTAAGATTTCTCAAAGATTATAGATAGTGCTTCAGAGAGTTCTTCTGCCAGTTCCTTTATGACTTCTGGGTGGAGCTCATTAGGTCCTGGAGATTTAAGGCATTAAGCTCATGAAGGTGCTCCTTGACCATTTGTCTGTTGAACTTAGGTTGCCATCCTGCCCTTTCACCTTGTACTTCCTCCTCTGTAGGTAGAGACCCCCAGGGCTGACTGGAAACCTGATGGATCCGTAAGTCTTCAGGGGTGGACCATTCTAATAGTTCTATCATTTCTACAGGGGCACAAAAACGGGACTGTGATTCTAGTCTTGACCAGATAGTGACCTGAGCAAGCCAAGACTGAGGGTGGAGAAACCTCAGTCTTCAAAACCAGCTGTTCAGAGCTGAATATAGCATCAAGTGTGCCCCCAAGCAGTATGTGTGGCTCCAGAGACCAACTGGGTCAGAGCCTTGGCTGCCAAGGTTGACATGCATTCATGGGAAGTGCCAGACAAGCTGGACTCAAAAGCAATGTTGAAATCACCCAGTTATATCAACCTGGGGGATCCAGCACCAGTTGCAAGACCAGTTCTGTAAGTTTGCCCAGAGATTCTGCTAGGCAATGAGGTGGTCTATATACCAGGAGAATCCCCAATCTGTCTTTGAACCCCAACTTTGAGTATACATGCACGTATTTCAGCTCCTTAACAGGGTACCTGGTAAAGGGAATGATACTCTTACAGATCACAGTCACACCACCCCTTCACCCACTTTCCCTTACCTGCCCGGCAACACAATAGCCAGTTGGGAGGCTCTATGCCCATACCGGTCCATTATCTTCTCTCAGCCATGTCTCTGTGAGACAGGCCAGGTCAGCCCCCTCATCTCTAACCATGCATCTCTAATTATGCATGGTGTTGAGAACATTGAGAGGGAAAAGTTTTGCTTCCTGTTTTATAATTATAGAAGCTTGAATAGTAGAAGATTCAGGGTAAAGAAAAGGAAGTATATCCTTATAGTACAAAATTTTAAACTCTGGAATTAATGCCTCAAGGCATAGTAATGACCAGCAACTTGGACTGTTTTAAAGGGGGATTATGTAAGTTAATGGAGGATTAAGTTACTAATAGCGACTAGTCATGATGGCTATACATTACGTCCAATATCAGAGGCAGTATGCTTCTGTATACCAGCTGCAGTGGAACATGAGCAGGAGGATGCTATTACATTTATGTCCTTGTGTTGGTTTGTCATAGACATCTAGTTGGCCACTATGCATCCAGAATATTGGCCTAGATACATCTTTAGTCTGTATTACTACTTTCTCAAATATGAGAATGGAGAAAAACTTTTACGTGAGACCTTGGAAAGCTAATGTTAGTGTGAGTACACAGTACAAAGTTAGATGGACTGATGGTCTAACTCAATTTAACAAGTTGCTTCACAAGTTGCTAATATATCATAAATCACTATATCAGAAAAGCAGTGGCATTTTTAAAATGTGGTGTTTGAATCTCAAGTTTTAAAAAAATGAAAAGCAGGAAACAATGCATTTGTACAATTCCTGCTGCTTTGCAACATCAGTTAATTATCAGGCAGTCATTTCTACTTGCTGCCCTGCTGATATCTTTCATGATTCTGGTTCAGAGAGAAGAGTAAAGTGAAAGGCACCTGCTGATTCTTTATCCAAAATGAAATGCGTTTGTCAGGGAGAAAAATAATTGACGGGAAATAACATTAATTTTCACTCTTCTCGGATAACATAAACACAGACCATTTCTAAATTAAAAACCATTTTTAATAAGATTTGTACAGAATCAGAAATTTTTATACCTTGTAACACTCCTTGAAATATTTTGCCCTCTATAGGAGATGAAATAATCGGCTTTTGAGGGATATTGTAGAAGGTAGTCTTCTACCTGCTTAGAGTATGTTAGCATACTTGTTTTTGCCTACTTTTTCTTTTTATATTACACATGAGAAAGCATAATGGACTAGGTGAGCACTCAGCTGCATCGTGGAAAAATATGCAAATTATTTTTTCCAGTATGGAAATAATGTTAAAAGTTTTGCATTGGTAATTCAGTGAAAAGACAAGCAGTGTGAGTTATGTGCAACCTTCATAATTTTACTTTCTGGCTAGTAAATGTCCACTATGGTGTCAGTGACCCTAGGTTTGTTATTTCTGTATACTTGTTTCTATAATTAGCCTTAGCACAGCATTTTTATCAGTGTTCAAAGCCATTCTTCTGTTTACCTGTTTCTGCTAATAAATAAACTTTCAATATACAATTCAGTTATTGGATGTCTTCCAATTGATCAGGCTTCTTCAGTCAACAAGTCAGTTTGCTTACCACTAATGACTAGGAGTAATCATTCACTCTGGAGTAGAAAACAACTAAACATGCAAAACTATCAATCAAAATATTATCCTATAACTTAATGTATTTTCCATTTATATGAGGGTTCCAGGGAGAGACAGGTATGGCTAAGAGAAGAAGCAGTACTAGGACAGAGCCACTGTAAGTTACATGAAAAATTACTCTGCCTCATTTGCGACCTGTGAGTCTTCTTAAAGACTCTGCCTCATTTGCAGCATCTCCTTCATTTTAAGCAGTTGGGACATGCAAGAGCTGTTTCTTACTTTCTCGGTACAACAGTGTGAATGAGAATAATTCCTAGGGATTGTTCCTGGTAATCATCCCTTTTGATTTCTGAAGCTTTCTTCACATAGTGGAAGATGTGCAAGGTGAGTGGGGTTTGTCACAAAATCAAGTATTATTTAAGGCATTTTATACCTTTCCTTAGTTAAATGACTCTCATAATGGTTTGCAATACATTAAAAGTTTAAAAAATAGCACACAATGCCAAAATAGATTTAAATAATCCCAAAATAAAACCAGTAAAATATCACTTAATGACAATAAAACCAGGTATATTATCCAATAAGAATAATTATAAAATTTATTAAATCATAAAACAACTTAAACAAATTACCACAATGTCATGTAAAAGGAGATAGGCTAAAATTTATTTTTAAAATTAACAATTAAAATGTTGAGAAAATAAAAAGATTTTAGCCTTGCACCAAATGGTATAGCATATCAGCACCAGGCACACCTCTCTGAAGAGTTGGTTCTATAACCAGGGTGCTGCAGCTGAAAAAGTAGCCACTTTCCTTGTATCTTTCACAGCAGACTCCCAGAGAAGGACCTGTGATAATGTTCTTATGGTCCAGGCAGATATGTATGGGTGGAGAAGTTCCGTCAGATATTCAGGTCCTAAACTGTTTAGGGCCATATAAGTTATCATAAGTACCTCAAAGCAAACTTGGACTTCAATTGGCAGCCTAGGGTTGGGTCAGAAAATATTTGATCAATTGACCAATCAGTTATTTTTAAAACCTTGATTTTAGTTGCACAGTAAAAAGTTACTTAACATGTTTTATTGTATTCTTGTAACTTTTAACAAAATTACATTGGGCTTTTAAAAATGTGGACAGTTTGTTTGATATTTATACTGAAACACTAGGATACATCTGCATTGACAATAAAAATAATTAACTAAATAAAAGATATATAGAAAACAAGGGAAAATTAAACTTTTTAAAGGTGATGTTTAAAAGGCAGTTGTGCTGCATAGTCCAGTGCTTCAAGCATCATCAGTATCTCCTTCAAGTGGGGATTCACTTCCATCTGTGTCATAAAACGTCAGCTATTGGATAGTGCACAGACTGGGGGAATGAATGAATGAATGAATCTAAAAGTGCTGTGGGAGACCATATGACCTTCAAAAGTAATTCAGTGCTAGGTTCCCCTGACCAGAATATTCAGTGTGATACTGAGATGGAAAATGATATCTTAGAGTAATTTGGTGCCCAGCTCCAGTCCAGAGAGGAGCTGGCGCTGATCTGCAGGAGATTTCCTGCCAGTCTACAAAAAAGCCCTGAAGAGGAGCTGCAGAGAGGCAGCATATAAGAACAGCAACTTGAGCTCAGCCTGCTCTTGTTCGCTCAGCGCTGCTGCCGTCACCAGGGGAACTGATCTGCGCCAGCTCTTTCCCTCCTCCCCCCTGACAAGGCAAGTGGCACTACCATCTAACAGGTATTCCTGCTAATCGTAGCTCCTTGTCAGGCAGTGGAAGACCAGAGCCAGACGGCCTGGGGCCACTTGCACAGTGTGCTGAGGGGGCAGGAGTGGCAGCAACATTCTCAGGGCTTCATATAAGGGCAGCAACTTGTGCTCAGCCTCCTGCTGGCTCATTGCTGCTGCCATCACCAGGGGAACCAAGCTGATCATAGCAGGAGGGAGGAAAGAGCTCTTGATCATAGCAGGAGGTGGGAAAGAGCTTGTGCAGCTCCACACAAGGGGCAGGGCCAGTCAGAGAGCCACCAAGTGTCATGGAAGAGCTGCAGAGGGGTGACCGGGCCATTCAGAGCTGCATATAAGGGCAGCAACTCACACTCAGTCCACTCTTCCCCCTCATGCTGTGCTGCTGCCATCACCAGGGGAACCGAGCTGATCCTAGCAGAAGGTGGGAAAGAGTTCTGATGTCACTCTGGTGTCCAAACATAAAATGCAATAATTGTCACAATTTTGGATATCACTGGAAAAAGTATATCCATCTCTAAGTTACAGAGCTATTAAATTGTTACTCGTATTTTCTACCATGTATTTGTGTGAAAAGAGTTTTTCAGCTCTGTCACTGATAAAAACCAAACAGAAACAGAATGGCTGTCAGAGTGCTTCATCTCTCAGAAACACTACAGCCACAACTATCAAGTATTCTTGAGAAGAAGCAACAGCAGATTTCACATTAGCCTTATTTGAATTTAATATTGCTCTCCAAAAAATTCAGTTGTATTTGATTGAATTTCAATATTTTATTCTTTTATTAGCATTTTTACTGCTCAGTTTCTGGTTGTTTTAGAGAATTATCATTTTGATACTATATTTAAAAGCTAATTCCCAAAATACTATGCTTTTTATTTGTGTCTCACCGGTCCCCAAAAAAGTTTTCCTATTTTCACTGGTCCTTACTACTTCCAACTGCTCAAGTGCTACTCTTTATAATAGGAGAAAGCCTGCCAAAGTAAAGGAGGCAGCACTGGTTGTATTGCTAGGAAGGCTTCAGAAACAGGGATCCTTGGAGTGGCTGCTTGTTTTGCCACTCTTGTCACATGGCTCTGTAGAATGCCTGAACCAAAAGCGATAAAATCTTCCTGGTTCAGATATCACAACAAGCATTTATGATAGGGACAAACCCTTATAGTCCATTGTTGTTTTCATGTAGTTGGCAGTGATTATAACTCACAATGGTCAGTTCAGACAACTACTGGGTTCAGACAAGATGGCAAACAATGATAGCAATCAATTATAATCAATTATAGTTAGGAATCTTGTCCTTTTGTATCAAATAAGATCCCATACATAACCAAACTGGTGGCTACTTTATTTATAATTGCTCTGCTTTTAAGAGAGCAATTGGTTAATTAGTCAGGCCAGATGAGATGCTTGTTTTTCTTCTAGTTAATTTATTGCTTATATATTTCTCATTGAATGGGTCATATGACTCTAAAACATTCATTTGACCTCCTTAATGATAAAGATAGCATCAGAACACCATTCTGGGCTTAAATAAAAAAGAATCATTATTAGGTCTTTGTAATGGACAGTAGAATGAAAATTCTATTATTTCATATTTGATGGTTTCTTAAACAGGTAAGTACCTTATGAAATATTTATAATAAACATGTCATTGTGGGAGATCTCATGTTTTGCTTGGCATAAGAATATGTATCAAAATAAGCATAGTTTCTGTAAAATTGTACTGTAATGTGAACTGGTCTAACACTTGTTCTGCGCAGGAAGGATTAGCTGACATCCCAGGCAAATGGCTGTGATTGCCAGTTGTTGACTCAAGGAGACCCAGGCACCCAAGGCAGGGGTGGTGGGGGAGGACTGGATAGGCTTGGGAATGTAAAAGGAGTGATACTGTAAATTATAGCCATAGACAAGCAGGAGTTTGGGGACAATAAGGGCAAATGGTCTTTACCTGGAATATGCCATGACATGTCACCCAATGAGTTATCTGATTAACAAATGAGGATAAAAGAAGGGAGCTGAAAAGGATTAGGGTTCCTCTTCAAGCAGAAGGCTTTTGCCAAAGAATGCTGTGCTACTGTGTATGTAGAGCTAGGCTACGGAAGTCATGTTATTTTGTGTTTGAGGAAACCAACAGGGCCTGGGGTCTCGGGCTGTGATTAGTTGTATCTGTGCTGCTCTCCAATTGCCCTTTCCTTTCCCATCCTTCCTTGGTGTCCTAGTGTTTTTAGATCCTCAATCCTTATTTTGCTAACCTTTTAATAAAATCCTTTCCCCAAAACTCTTCAGTTGTTGTGTGCTGAATCCAGTGTCTGGTCCAAACTTTGTTATGTGCTGAATTCAGTGTTGGGTCAGAGGTTATAGCCCAGTGGGCTGCAGGAAGGTGAGGACTCCAGGGCAGCTAACTGTTACATGTTCTATTATGTGCTGTAGTTGCACATATAGCTAGGCATTTTCAATCCTGGAAATTTCAATAGATATTTTAAAAATCAAACTGATTCCATGTAGGATATAGTTTAGGTAGCTGCCTGATTATTGAAGATCCATATAAAAGCCTAAGTGCACAGCACAGATCTAAGACCAAAGTAATTTTTAAATGGTTCTAGTGAGAAGTTAACAATTCAGTTTTCCAGAACCTAGGTTTTGTTTGTTTGCTCTTTTTCATTCATAAAATGAAATGTAACATGTTTTTGTATTGGGGGAAAATATGGATTAGAAATATTTCATTGTTTGTTTTCTTCATTGTACATAGGCACACTGGACAACTGGAAAATTCAACTGCCCATTCTGTGGGGCCCATCCTGGGGGCTTTAACTTTGTCAATAATGCAAAATGTTCCTGCAATGAGTTTACAAATATCCATCTTTGTGAAAGGCGAACTGACTTCCAGACAGCTAGTTCAATTACATCACCAATATCACAACTAAAGCACTTGTCACTTTGTACAGTTCATTCCGATTTTAACAAGGAAATACAGCAGAGTGTGACAGATGGAACTAGAAATCAAAAACTTTCATACATGGCCAAAACTAATGATGCCATTGGAAGATTAATAGAGGCACTTTGCCTGGAGGTGAGATCAACCAACTTTGAGATGAATAGTAAAAAATTACACTTCAAAGTGTCTAGTCCAAAATCAAGTCTTTCAGCTTCACTGGCTGTGAATGACAGATACAGTGTAAAAACTTTTCATAGAAAATCACAGAGTTTGGACTTTAACTTCAGACAGCAGCTTGACTTGTTGCCTCCTTTATATGGAACTGCCATGAGCAAGAGACCTGTTTCTTCCAGACAACGAGAAGCACAGCGTTTTAGTACAAAGGGCTGCTTACAATTAAAGCCTAGCAGAACATGTAATTATTTTCAGTGCCCAGTGAAATCAAATGCTGGTGAGCTTCCAAAGACTTTTACAGTTACTTCCTACAGTGTATTACCACCAGAAGAGGCTAAATTTAGTTCCATTTTAGAAGCTTCCAAAAACTATCTTGAGAGTGTTACTACGGATCAGCAGCTGTTGCTGTCTTCATCAAAGAGCACTGCAAAAGAAGATGTTCTGCAACAGTATGTCACACCTCTTGGTCATCTTCAGCCCTTGACAATTATTGATCAAAAGTTGAGCAGGAGAAAAAGAAACCAGGAAAACAGTTTGAGGAAGAAGCAAAGATGGCAAGAAAGATGGTTACAAATGCAGGTATATACTAACAATTCAGTGATTTATTACATGAAGAAATTTTATTTGATTACCAAGGGGAATTAGGGTCATTATCAAGTTAGCAGTACTTTCTGATAATCTGCTTAGAGATTTTAAACATAAAAGCAACCTGGTAATTTAAAACTGCTTGACTGCTTTTAACTTTCATATGTTCAGGATTCAGAATATGAACTTCTCCTCTAAATTGGAGCGGTGGCCGTTACAATGGTGTATCAATTAAAATATCATGCCATATAATTGTTGGCACAAATCATAGTTTGCAAACACACTTCATGCCATCACTTCTAAATCCAGTTTGTTGACTGATTTCAAACCATGGTTTATTGATTCAAGTTTCGTGCCAAACCACAGGTAGGCTTCCTTAACTATGCTTTGTTATAATGTCTGAATTAATCCATTGGCTGGAGAACTAAAATCTGTACAAACTTTATACATCGCTTTGAAAAATACTAGAAATGTAGGGAAGAAATTGTGTGTGTGTACAATTATTGGTTTTCTCCTGAGCAAAGAAAATAATTGTTAGCCATATAAATCATCAGTGGGTGACCTGTGACCCTCCTCATGTTTTGCCCTACACCTCCTATCAGACATAGCCATCTGTAGGCCAAAATATCTGGAAGGCCTCATGTTGCCCACCTGTCCTACAAAACTTATGTAAATGGTTTGGTCCAAATTTCAGCAGCTCTTTATCCTTATTTCGAAAGAAAGAATGATCTAAGAATGACTATTTTCATAGTCATCTTCATGTATAGACGTGCATGAAAAAACTGTACCAAAAGATCACTGGTGTTTGCTAGGGGCTCTTACATGTATTATTTATTGCTTCGTGATTTGAAATCATGGTTGTCACATGCCATAAGCTAATTGCCATTAACTGTGTTCATGCATATATTATGTTTGATCAAGAGAGTCCTAGATCCTGAGTCTTCACTGAAAGTCACTGGATGACTGGACCAGTTACTGATTTGCAACCTACCTTACCTTACAATATGGTTATGAGGATAAAATGTAGAGGAGATGGATAATTTAAGTGACCTTGGGTTCCTTTCAAAAGAAAAAAAGTGGACTATAACCATGATAGTAAAAATGATAAGGTTAGGTTACCCAAAACTATGCTATAGAGGAGAAAGAAAAAAAAAACCAGTGGCCACAAGAGAGACCACAAAATGTCCAGAATGTTATGTCCTTTAGAATTTAGAATGGCTGCTATAAGCAGCTGTGTGACTATTGCTGGGAGTTTAAGTTACACATGAGCAAATGCAGCCCTTGGACTGATTAAAGTTTCTACCTAGCCCAGAACTTGTAATCCTGGAAAACTGCACTGCCAGTAGCACTGTCTCTGTGAGAATGCATTCACCTTATCTCAGGAGGTCTGGGACATGGTTACCCTTTAGGCCATCCTTTTAATTCATTCCCAAAATAGATGTCAGTCTTTTATAGGTCACAAAAACTTGTTCTGCTGTCCTTTTCAGAAAAGCCACTCGGAAAAGATTACATTGTCAATTTCAATAAGACTGTTATATAATATTAACAAAACAAGTGTCTTCCATAGTTATAGCCTTTTGTTCTCTTCCACTGTATAGCCATGTAAGTGTTGTTCTTTGTGGTCTCTCTCTATCACATATATGAGCTCTCCACTGCATGAATCTTGTTGTTGAGAAGATTCTACAGCTAAGAGAATTTTGGCGGGAACTTTTTCCATACCTGCAGCATCAGCCCATGGTGCCCACCCATTCCCTCTGTTCTTCAACTGCCATTGTGGTGCCTCAGGATTGTGATTTACAACTTTTCTTTATATCTTGTTTCTATTCTAATTCTTGCAACATTCTACTGATCTTTCTATATCCTTGAGATTTTTTTCCCTTACCTTGATGCCTATATATAAACATAAAAATCCCTTCCTTCCACCTCTTCATTCCACATATATTTTTCATTATATCGCCTTAAAAATCTCCATTCCTCCTTGTTCAGTGGCCTCCAAGGCACTATTTAGAAAATGCATCCATTGAGGAAGCAAACTTCCACCTACTGACAGGCACTCTCTATGCCTGTTCTACCTGGGAGAAGCCCAAATCATGCACTTCCACCCTCACTGTTAGGCCTTCACTGAGCAAACTCGAAGAAGCAGTACATTCCTCCAAACCTGTTGAATGCCCATCTAACTCACAGGCCCGTTTCACATCCAACTGTGCCTGCTTCAGCAATGGCTGTAACTAGGGGCTAGACTGTGCTGCCAACACTAAGATGCTTGCTGAAGAAGTCCAAAGCCAAGAAGTAGGCAAAGAGTGCCAAAGCAGCAGACCTGGCAGAAGCTGCCAAATTGGAAATCAAATGCCAAGCAGCATTTGAAGACCCACCATTCTGATTTGACTCAGCAGTCTCCATTGGTACCAACCATGTTCAGTCTGACCCTGCATTACTGAGAAGAAACTGGACTCAGCAACATCATTGTTGGTGAATGGAGATCTGGGATATATCACCTCAGCCATGGACCTGTCCTCCTTCCACAGACTCAGGGTCTTGCAGGTCACGTACAATCTAAGTGGTCCAGTGGATGTAGCCTATGTCAAATCTGAGTGCTGTAGAGCTAACTCTCACTCTCCCTTCTTGGACTGGGACAAACACTTTGAATGGTCTATCCCACCATCATACTGGGAATTCAACAATATATGTGGGTTGCTGGTGGGGTCAACCAGTGCTCAGAAGTGATGAGAGCTCAGAGGGTGGAAGCATTTGTATGGGGACCCTATGCTTTGAAAGCCTCCACTACTGATACCTAGAGTTCTGTTGCCTTAGCCTCAGACCCTTCAAAAATCATTGCTGGACCATTCCACTGCCTTCGTCACCTGCCTCTGTACTTTTGGGATCAAAACCAGAATCTCTATTATCTGAACTAAGGAACTATGCATCAGATATGGCTTCTTCATCATCAGTGACTCCATCCCTTTCATATCCTGAAGCAGCTGTGGAAACCCTGGACCAAGCTTCTCAATTTTTTGGATCATATCCTCTGAATGCAGTCTCTGGGCCTGGACACAGAGCAGCCAACAGAGGAGATGAGGAATCTGGTATTCAGCACAGTCTACATGGATGGTAAGCCCCAGTTTCTATATCATTCTGTCAACAGTCCTGCAGATAGTACAGCCGTCATAGAAGAAGCCCTTCTCCATGGCCCTGATATCCCAAAGACTCAAGAACATATACAGGCTGCAGATCAGAATCATGACTTTTTTTTACCAACTCCCACGACTGAACTCCAGTCAAGTAAACTTGGAGAAGGTCACATCTGGAGCACTGTGCACTGGTAGCCAGGGAAACCTGCCTCTTGGACTTGATGGAGAGGTGCATCTAATCTTCCACCATGGCGTTCAGCATAAGCAAACTACCAAGCTTCCTTGACCAATGTCAGCCTTTTCTTTGGGGAAAAATCGGCTCCTTCTGTGACCATCTGCCAGAGGGTCAAAGAGAGCTGGATTCAAGATTGAGTTTGTTACCCTCCTGCATTTCAGTATAATAAGGAGTACAATTTCATCTACAGCCTTGATTACAGAGTTAGACTCACTGCTTCACAAGGACACTATAGAGCAGGTCCCTACTTTGTAACTCCAGGACAGTTTCTACTCCAGATGCTTTACAATACTGAAGCAGGATGGAGGGCTTTGACCTCAGAGACAGCAACTTTGCACTGACTGCCAAAACATTTCCAGATACAGTACAAGGTCTTGGTACCTTTAAAGACCTCCATGGCTTGGGTTCAAAATACCTTCAGGAAAACCTTTGCTTCTACATTGTGCCTCACCAGCTCAGGTCCTCTGGGGATAATCTTCTGAAGTCGTCTTCTGTACGATTAATCTCATAGAATCATAAAATCACAGAATAGTAGAGTTGGAAGGGGCCATGAAGGCCATTGAGTCCAACCCTCTGCTGTTGCAGGACACCATGTCACACCATCCCACCCAGATGGCTGTCCAGTTTCTTTTTGAATGTATCTTGTGTGGGAGGGCCCACCACCTCTCTAGGCAGCTGGTTCTACTGTTGTATTGCTCTGACAGTGAGGAAGCTTTTCCTGATGTCCACCCTGTATCTGGGTTGTCACAACTTGAACTGATTATTCAACTATCTAGCAGGCTTTTTCAGTGGTGTTCCCTAAGCAGTGGAATGGTCTTTCAGGAAAGACGGCTGTGATTTCCCAGATTGTAACCTTTAAGAGGGAGTTAAAAAGGTAAAGGTAAAGGTTTCCCCTTGACATTAAAGTCCAGTCATGTCTGACTCTAGGGGGCAGTGCTCATCTCCGCTTCCTAGCCGAGGGAGCCAGCGTTTGTCTGCAGACAGTTTCTGTGGTCATGTGGCTGTGATCATCATAAAGTGGTCCTTGATTCAGTAAAGAGGAGACTATCAGGTTTCCAAGGAAAGCCCTTCTCAAAAAGAGACTGAATGCCAGATCTGGTTTTAAACACTATGCATGTAACATTTATTCTATGATATAAAGAATACAAAAGTATAAGAATACAAGTTCAGCAATCATCAGCAACAATATCAAGAGGCCTCATTCACACTCGCATTCATGCAACACTCATACTCACAGCCAATAGACCCTCTCGGTGATCCATCAGGACTGTGGGTCACCAGTTGCAATACTGTTCTGGCACACACGGGAGCTGGAAAGCCCAGTCATTTTATACCTTTAAGTTGATGCTATCAGCTTAGTCCAACTGGATCAAACAGTGAACTCCTCTGAGCAGAGCTGACACAGAACATGCTGGTCTTTATCTTGAACACATGCACTCTCGTCACATTCCATTGTCTCTCTGGACGGTACAGCGTGGGCTTATCTGTTATGTTCCCTTCTCCAACCACTCCTGGCCTCTCAGTTTTCTCAGTCTGGTCAGTCCCATCATGCTTTTTCATTCTTCATTTTCTTCTGGGTCTTAGGCCTTCAGGAACCCATGCACACTGTGACATGGCTGGCATGACTAAAC